AACTCTCTTCTGGGTCGCTTGGGCCGTCTTGGGTCGACTCTGGCGGTCTCTTGAGCCACCTGGAGCGTCGTGAGGACGAAAAAGGCGGCAATGCGTAAATCACGCAACACCCAAAAGGATGTGGACCATGCCTGCTCAGGGAAGCCCTCTGGGAAGTCGTCCTTAGGGCGACGAGATCTATGCATATCCACTGCTCCTGGCCAGGCCAATCCTGGGCCCAGGAGCGGTGTATACGCCCTCCTGGCCTGGCCAGGGAGGCATATACACAGCTCCTGGGCCCAGGATGGACCTGGCCAGGAGCAGTGGATATGTATAGATCTCGTCGCCCTAGTCCTGGGGACCTCTTGGGTCGTCTTCGGGGCCTCTTGGGCCGTCCCGAGGACATCCGAAGGCATCTTTTGGAGCTCTCTTAGGGCCGTCCTGGGGGGCTCTCGTTGGACATCCGTCGAGGCCTCGCGAAGGCCGCCTTGAGGCGTGCTGGTGCCGTCTTGGGGGCTCCCTTGGCGTTCTCTGCGGCCGCTCTGGTAGGGCGACGAGATCTATGCATATCCACTGCTCCTGGCCAGGCCCATCCTGGGCCCAGGAGCTGTGTATATGCCTCCCTGGCCAGGCCAGGAGGGCGTATACGCCGCTCCTGGGCCCAGGATGGGCCTGGCCAGGAGCAGTGGATATGCATAGATCTCGTCGCCCTATCTGGGCCAGGGGTCCTCGCAGACCCGCACGGCATGATTCGTAAAAATTCGAACGGACGTACCGAATACCGAACCCGGTCCGACACCAATCGCAGCACCGAAAGAGGCACCCATCCCCCCCGCCCCCGCGGCTCCCCTGTTGCCCGAGGGGTGGTCTTGCAGGCGTGCTTCGGCTGCTCCCGAGCCGGCCCACCGCAGACGACGACGACGACGCACGCGGCGGAGGCGACGACGGGACGGCGACTCGAGCGGCCATCACGACGGCACCGTGGCACAGGCTCTGGCCTGGAAGCCTCGGGGGGGGCGGCCTCGGAGGCTCCGCCCCGGCCCTCTCGTCGCCCCCTCGCGAGCGCTCCCGACCCCACCACCATTCGCTTCTCTAGAGGGCAGAAAATCCACCCCGATAATTTGTCACCCCGACACGCAAGACCGTTTAATAAACGCACCCAAACTAGGAATCAAACAGGGCAGGGCTGTGTAGTAAACGCCCAGGGCCGCCGGGTGGTTTTTCCTCCCTTGATTCTCCGCCGCCGAAGCGGCACCGCTGCCGCGAGAACGGATTTCTGGGAGGCAGGCAGGAGCTGATGTCACAGTGCATCGCGGAGGAGAGGCGGGCGGCGAGTCCGACCCGTTCGATGCAGGAGTGCAAATGGACTGCGCTGCCAGGCTCGGCCTAAGCACTGTGCTCCGCTGTCGGTTTGCCCTCGCGTTTTGCGCCGTCCTGGCGTGCTTCCGCCTTTGCCGCGAGGCGAGATCGAACCGAAAGCAGCCCTCGAAATCGCCATAAACACCGCTTGAGCCCAGCCATGCTGCGCCGAGCCCCGAGCGCGGGAAGGGCCCGAGGCGTGGAGGGGGCGCGCCCACTGTGGGGAGCGCGCGTGCGCTCCCCGCCCCCCGCTCGGGCACACGCACGTGCTGCTGGTCCACGGGCGCAGCCACGGTCCGAGTCGGCGATGCGGATGCGGGGCGCGCGCGCGCGCGCAAGTCGTGGGCCGCTGCAGGCGGGCGAGGCGAAGGGGCGGACGGAGGCAGCCGCGGAGGCAGGAGGAGAAGACTAGCCCACGAGCGCGGCCAGCGCGTCGCGGAGGAAGGCCGCGGCCTCGGGCCAGGGGAGACACACACACACACACACACACGCACACGGAATGAGCGATACGGCAGCGCGCGCTAGCGGAACATGGGACGAGAGAGGGGACCTTCTCGACGTCGCCGACGTGGATGCCGCACGCGGTCCGCATGAGCATGTGCTGCGGCCTGTCGGGGGGGGGAGGCGGAGGAGGGCAGCAAATTCGGTTCGGCAGACTTCGGCTGACCCTGAAAGGCCTTTAGAAACACCCCCCCTGCCCCCCTGATATGGGGGTAACTAATCATTTGTTTGGCGGCCTTATTGAAGGACTGGGTTCACACCAATAGGGGGTAACTAATTATTTTGTTCCGCGGCACCCGCCGCGCAGCACGACGACGACCACTACGACGACAACGACCTCCTGTTCCTGTTCCTGCTCCTGCTCCTCCTCCTCCTCCTCCTCCTCCTCCTCTCCTCCTCCTCCTGCTCCTGCTCCTCCTCCTCACCCTCCTCCTCCTCCTCCTTCTCCTCCTCCTCCTCCCGCTCCGTAGCCATTTTGGCTCAAGGTTGCGGCTTCGGAGCCCGCTCGGCGCGCGCTGGGCCCGGCTCCCTCGGCTTCGCGCATGGGGCGCGGAGGCGGGCTTTCGGTGCGTCATGGCGCTGCCGTGGTGCATGTTCGCACGGTGGACGAGGCGGCCGAGCTCGTGGTGAAGATCGGGCTGCAGGGCAGAAAGGGTGAAACCAACGCTTTGGAACCCTTCGAGTCGACCATGCGGCGCGCTGGTCGGCTTTTGGGCCTGGGCCGCAAAGCGAGCTCCGAGGAGGTGCGCCGTGCTCTCGCGCGGCAGGGCGACTCCGCCCACCTCGATCTCGCCAAGCGCTGGACTACAGCGCGGGCTGGGCGGCGCGCGGCTGCCCACCCGGATCCCGATGTGTACGACGACGTCATCGAGGTGCTACAGGCCATCGGGACGTCCACCCAGCAGGGCGAGACGAGCGACTCCATGGCGGCCGAGCGCGACGGCTCGGACTCCGACGGGGTGAGCACCATCGCAACCTTCGAGGAGCGCATGGAGCAGAGGCTGGACGACATCAAGGAGTTGATCATGCAGGTCCGCGCAGACGTGCTGTTGCGGGCGGAACCCATCGGCAAGAGGGACGTGCAGTTCTTCGACATCGGGGACGCCAGCGGCTCGGAGGGCGCACCCGCACATGAGGAGCTGGACTGCCTGGGCTCGAACCTTGGCGCGGCGGCGTCGCAGCTGGCGCTACCCCCCGTTCCGCGCTTCCCGTTGCTGTCCGAGGTCGGGGCGGGCCCCGAGTTTTAGGAGAAGGACGAGTCCATGAAGATGGAGGCGGAGAAGGTCGTGGAGTCCCCGGCGATGCAGCCTTTGCCGGCTGCCTTCCCCGAGGGCGTCGAGGGCATGACGATCCAGTTCGAGAGCAGCGACATCGGTGGGCTGCTGGCGTCCCTGGAGGTGGGCTCCTTGGACAGCGGTTTTGCCAATCAGGTCGATGGCGACGACATGGGCAGTTACAAGTTCCCGCTGGGAGCGGGCTTTCACTGGCAACCGAAGGCGAAGCTGCCTTTGGACCTGGCAGGCACGGAGGCCAAGCTCGGCCTCGAGAACTACTGCTACACCATTCGCAATACCGTGCTGGATGAGAAGATGCAGGGTCTCATCGAGTACGGCGACAAGGCGAAGATCGAGAAGGCGGTGCAGGACGCCCTCCTCTGGCTGACCCGGCCAGACACCGCGGGCGCCTTCAGCTACGAGAGCAAGCTGAAGGAGCTGGAGGGTTTCGTCGGCCCGATCATCACGACGGCCATGGACAACTGGAAGCAGGCGCCGTCGGAGGTGCCGACGAACCAGGAGGACATGAACATGAGCCTCGGGAAGAGCGACACCGAGGCGATGACCATGAGCGGGGTCAAGGTCAAGGAGTCTTCCGAGGGCGAGCTCGAGGACACATTGCCGCCCGACGCTTTCGACGAGCTTAGTGCGTTCCTCGAGGCGGCGTCGGCGGCGTTAGAGCTGGCCCATTAGTATTCTCATACGCTTTCGGCCCCGAGCGAAGGCTTGGAGCCAGCCTCAGCTTGGTCGTAAGGGGTCCTCGCTGACTTTTTCGGAGCCGCGGTCGGCTTCCGCGTCCTCTTGGGGCTCTTGGGTCCTGGGCTTCCTGGGTCTCCTGGGGTCTGGGGGCGTTCGCTTCCCGTGGGGCGTTTGGGCTCGGATCCTGGGTCTCGGGCTCTCTGGGCTTCGGGCTTTCTGGGGTCGGGCCGTCCCCGCGGGGGCGGGGCGTGCGTCCTCTGAGATCCCCTCCTGGGGTCTCGGATGGCTCTCGCTCCTGTCTTGTGCCCTTCTTGGGACGGACACGTGCCGTGCCGTGCACGGCTGCGCGAGTCGCCGCTTCTGGAGGTACTTTGGCTCTCTCGGGCCCAACGCGCAGGAGGGAAAAACCTCCTCCTCCCTCCCCCCTCCCCTTCTCCCCTTCTCCCCTCCACAATTACACAATATGAATACTACTCTCCTCTCTCCCCTGATGACGTCCGGAAGACATCTGGCCCCCCTCGGCGTACTGTTTTTTACACCGGGTTCCCGGGAAATGAGTTTTCTCTTGGGTGTTTGTTTCAAAATGTTGCTCCCGCTGGAGCGCTGGCCCCATTTCTGCCCATCTGGTTGTTCCAAATCGTGCTCCTGCTGCGGCGCGGGCTTTTCGGTCCTTCTAATAGGGTCCAACATCTACAACATGCCCCCCGAAAAAAAATCGGAAGTGATTACACATTCGGTGCCGATTCGTTGATTTCTGGGGCCGCAGAAGCCCCCCCCCACTTTGGGGCGTCGTCGCTTTCAGGTAATATCAAGCGGAAGCCCCGTTTCTGCTTTGAGAAGGCGATGTTGAAAACAGAGCCAGCGGGTGCTCTCCATCAGCCCCGCCTTGTGTGGAGCGTTTCGGGGAGCCCAAGCAGCTAGACATGGAACCACGACTCCAGAGCGGCCCATACCGCTCGAAGACGATCCACTTACCCTCCAAGGAACCTGGCGCCATGCCATGACATGCTGTGCGGTGTTGTGTTCTGCGCCGATGTGCGATGCCATGCTTTGCGTTGAAATGCTTTGTGATGCAACGCTTCACTGTGCAATGCCACGCCATGCTATGGCATGCTACGCTCTGCCGTGCTCTTCTACGCTATGTCATGCCGCCGTGCTCTACCATGCATCGAGTACCCTCTCACGATTACTGCCCTGCTCGACATCCGAGTGCGCGACTAGAGAGGAAATCTACGTCATGTTAAGGGATGAGAGGGACGGGTAGGACGTATGTATGACGCGAGCGCACCCAGCGTGCCCCTCCCCCCCTCCTCCCCCAATTACACGAGATGAATACTACTCTCCTCTCTCCCCTGAGTCTGCGCGGAAGATGGCCGGCACCCCTCCGCGTACTGGATTGCCGGGAGTTTGGTTTTCATGTGTTTCTGATCATCCGATTATATTCGGCCCTTCAAAATGTTGCTCCCGCTGCAGCGCTGACCTCATTTCCGCGCTTCCGCTCGTTGCGTATCGTTCTCCCGCTGCGGCGCTGACCTCACTTCCGTGCTTCCGCTCGTTCCGAATCGACCTCCCGCTGCGGCCCTGACCTTCTTTCTGCGCTTCCGCTCGTTCTGAATCGTGCTCCCGCTGCAGCGCTGGCCTCATTTCAAGTGCCATGCCACGGCGTGCAATGCAATGCTATGGTGTGTGCCGCTGTGCGGTGCCATCCCTTCAGCTGCAATACTCTGATATGCAGTTCTTGACAACGCGGTGCCACGCCATGCTACGCCATGTTACGCGTTGATTTTCAATGCCACGTTATGACATGTAATGCTATACCATGCTACGACATCCGACTGCGCGAAAAGGGAGGAGGTCTATGCCATGGTAAGGATGGGAGGGAGGGGTAGGACGTCAGATAAGACGCTTGCGCACCTAGCTTGCCACTCCCCCCTCCCTCCTCCTCCTCCTCCTCCTCCTCTCCTCCTCCTCTCCTCCAACTTCCCCCTCCTCTCCTCCTCCTCCTCCTCCTCCTCCTCCTCCTCCTCCTCCCCTCTCCTCCTCCCTCCGTCCCTCCCTCCCCCTCCCTCCTCCTCCCTTCTTTCTTCCCCCCCTCCCCCCCCTCCCCCCTCCCTCCTCCTCCTCCCTCCCTCCCCCTCTCCCTCTTCTTCATCTACCCCTCCTCCCTCCTCCCTCCCTCCTCCCTCCCTCCTCCCTTCTCCCTCCACCCTCCTCCCTCGTCCCTCGTCCCTCGTCCCTCCTCCCTCCTCCCTCCTCCTCTCCTCCTCCCCTTCCTCCTCCCCTCCTCCTCCTCCTCCTCCTCCTCTCCTCCTCCTCCTCCTCCTCCTCCTCCTCCTCCTCCTCCTCCTCCTCCTCCTCCGCCTCGTTCTCCTCCTCCGTTTCTTCCTCTTCCTCCTCCTCCTCGTCTTCCTCGTCCTCCTCGTCCCCTCGTCCCCTCGTCCCGTCGTCTCCTCGTCCTCGCCCTCGTTCTCCTCGTCTTCTTATTATTCTTATTAGTATTAGGCTTATTCTTAGTATTATTATTCGTACCAGTAGTATGATCAGTATTAACATTATTAGGTGTACCATGCTTATTAGTATTATTATTATTAGTAGTAGCATTATTATTATTATTATGAATATTATCAGAATTAGAAAGCTTAGTCATAATAGTAAGGTTATTCGTTTCCGCAGTATTATTGTGATTATTATTAGTATGCTTCTGTGCCAGCTTATTATTATTAACACTCTTAGTAGTCATAGTGTTAGCATTCTTATTATTAGTGGTATTTATATTATTGTTATTCTTCATATCCTTCTTACTACTATTAGCAATAGTATGGTCATTATTCTGACTAACATTATTTGGAATATTATTACTAGTATGCGTATGTGCATTATTATTATCATTCCTCCTCCTCTCCTTCCTCCTCCTCCTCCTGCGAGGATGACCGAGAGGACGGGGGTAGCACGAAGAACGAAGCGGCGCCGCCTAGGGAGCCGATTCCCTGAGGCCCCGGGGAGGCAGCGGATGCGGATATAGTCTCGAGTCCGCTGCCTCTCAAGGAGTCTCGGGGCACCGGCTCCCAGGGCGGTGGAATACTTCCCGGGTCGGGGAGGGGAAGAGGGGTGTGGTGAGGGAGGGGAGGACGGAGGAGGAGGGAGGGGAAGAGGGCAGGGAGGGGGAGAGAGGGGGAGCGAGCGAACGAGCATGCAGCAGTGCAGTCGAAGGCACGATGGCACCGAGCATCAGAAGGGTGGGTGAATTTCAAGGCGGGCCCGATGAAGCACCGGGCCCGCGGCATATGGATGTCGGCGCCCTGGGCCTTCAGGGATTAGAAGGCCAGGACGCTGCGCCAAATTAGTCGGAGCTCCCCGAGTCCCATCCCGCCACGCCCGCCTCCGCCCCCTCCTCGAGGCAGTGGGCCTGCAGCTCGGTGGGCGGCACACTCGGGAGGGCGGCACCTGAAGGGTGCCTTCCACGTCGGGCGAACTCCAATCGTCTTGGATGGGCGTCTCTAGTGGCCTCAACCTTGGAGACGCCTCTGCACCCCGCCTTGAGTCCACGACAACGGCCGTCAGGCAGCGCAAGAAGACAGGCAGGCGCACTCAGTGCATATAGTGACTGGGCCAAGGCGAACAGGACTGTGTTCCAATTGTCCGAGCACATCAAGGCCGCCCGCGTGGGCCGAGCTCCCAGGGGCAACATCCGAGGGGAGAGGCGGCCCCCCGGACCCCAGAGGCCGAAGAGAGGATCCCTGGGGGTTGTAAAAAACTTGATCGTAATCCTGCGTGGCCAAACGAGCAGCAGTCTCAGCGCGAGACGGGCCCTGCTCAACATGAGCATTGAGCCTGCGCCCCACAGGCCCACCGACACCCTCAGGCCTCAGGTCCCCAGGCGGTTCCAGGGGAGAGGGGGAGGAGGAGGCCTCAGGAAGAGGCGGACCCAGGACTACAACAGCAGCAGCAAGGGCGACCTGGACCGAGGGCTCGCCCGGGGCAGCTTCGACTTGCTGGAAGTACTCCTGGGCCCTCCAGGCACTGATAGGGTCTGGCTGGCATCTCCTGCTGGCCCCAGGCCGCAGCCCCCTGAGCTTGTGCTCGGTGGTGGCAGACATGTTACACCTGCGGCACCTCCGTTCATTCCTTGACGGAGCGTGGACCAGCTGATGCTCCACGAGCGACACCGCCGACCTCTCTCCCACATCACGCAGCGGTGGTGGGGAGGGCTCGATCAGCCGGGTCGCGACTCCAAACGCATGGACTGCCCTGGAAAGAAAATCCCAGGTCTTCTTTTGGTGGTATACGCGCACTCGGCCTGGACAATCACATCAGGAACCGCGCGCATACCAGCACCGACGCGAGCAAAATACTCGGCCCAGAGATCGCCACACCAATCCACAATCTCGCGCTGAGCCAGGTGAACCACATCATCCAGCTCACGATGGGAAAAGGACCCACTTGAACCTGGGCCTGGGTCGGCCCTCCGCGCGCGCAACAAAAATCTCACGCCAAATATCGGCCTGGGGAGACTGGGCCCCAGCAAGTGACGAATCCCAAGAGGCCCCCTCCTTGACCCAGAAGAGGTGATCATTGCACACCTCGACGCCAGGGGGCGCAACCTCGATCGCCTACGCACCCGCGAGACGCTCAGCGCGGGGCACAGTCTGGCGCCCAGGGAAGGGCCGGAAGAAGGCCCTCACAGGGAACCCGCTGGGACCGACCTCAACGACGGACCATCCAGACAGTCTACGTTTGGGACTGCCGCTGGACAGTCACGAACCGTCGGTATAGACGCGCCGCCCCCACTCTTGGTGGGTTGCACCCCTCGGGCGCCATGGCGCTAAATGGAGCCCGTGCGACAGCTCGAAGGTCCCAATCGGCCGACAGATTCTGATACACCTCGGCCCTCAAAACCGCCCTGCGCTCCACGATGTCATCTGGGAAGGTCTCTATGTCGGGCTCGCCAGAATTAAGAAAGGGCAATCGTACAACCGATGTCCAATGGTGGCATT